ACAGATCATGCCTCCTCATCCTATAATATGCTCAATATAACTGGTGTCATCCCCAGAGCTGATGCATTTACTTTCTTCTGCAAGCACTTCACTTTTTCCATTCTTTTTCCATTCTGATTCCTTTCTCTCTTCATGTTCATTGCGATCAACATTATTGGTGTGGTGAATTATTTCTGTTCTCCCTCCTTTTTAATTTGTTCCAACCTTGGAATGATACATACTCATATGTATGGAATGACTAATTTTAGGGTGTTGAGAGAGAAGGATGATCTCTTTGTGACATCCAGGACACAAGCAAGTCCAGGCTTTGGCAATATTCCAAACCACGAATTTGTGGCTGGTGATCAGTCAATCCTCTAATAACACCTTTGTAGTACTTAAAGAGATGGTTATCCAATCTCTTGAGCATAGTCCCTCTCAGTGAGCACCCCTTGATGAGGCAAACGCCACTCTTTCCTTTAAATTCAAGAAAATGAAGACATTCTTTCTGTTACGTGAAGCTCCTCAGAGAACTCATGAAGATCAACACTACTGATAAGTCTACAAAGTAATGACGAAATTGAATTAAAACACTTTAGTTTTCCTTACTTAAATTCCACATATTGCCAACAATAAGTATTTGCAGATTTCTTTAGTGATTGCAAGAGTCAGGTGCTTGAAGCTAATTGTCTTGGAAAAATGGTCACAAACAGATATGATACTCTAAATGACACATTTGGGTCATTCCATGATCAAGGACGTTACATTTGCACAAGTGTGGTTAGAGAAAAATCATTAGAACAGACACAAAATTAGAAACAATCATTCCCTTGTACTTTGATTATGACAGATAGGTGCTAGTTGCATGTTTAGTGGGAAACTCAAATTTCCTTTAAGCAAAAAATTATATTTAAATAAATAGAGCTGTCATGGATGTTACAACCAAATCAACCACGTTCTTAAGCACAAATGTTTAACATTTAATTCCTGTGAATTCTGAAAGTATAACTTAAAAACAAATGATTTTGTTTTTTAAGTAAATAGTGATACTACAATTACATACTAATCAATATTTTTTTGTGGTGTGTCTTCTTCATTAGATAATAAAACAATGTCATGGACATTGCATTCCTGATCATGGACATTTCAGTGTGTGAAAAAGATAAAGAAATTAGCGATGTCAAATATATAAATTATCTGTTCCTTCTTTCTTTTCCACAAACATTAGAAAACTGTCCATTAGTTTTGAAATTAGCATTATCTTTCCCTGTTTTCACCTGAAATATTGCAAATAGTGTTTCTAGTCAGCAGCACTCACCTTGAAGTGTGCTCTGTATGGGGAAAGTGTTTTGAGCATGCTCAGACAACAACAGTTGCTGGATTATGCATTTTCCAAGTTGTCTGCAGTTTCAATGAACTAAAAGACTTACAGGATAATGCCTAATCCTGAAAAACGGAGTTATTATTTTAAAAAGCTTAAGGCAGATCCAGAGAGATACCAAGTTTATCTAGAGAAGGACAAACAGCGAAAAAAGAAAATGTTACTACTGCAGTACTGTAGTAAGCGATTAGTAAGGTCAGCAGTTGTCACCAATTTGCCAGGTGACTGCTAAACCACGAGGGCGGCCATGTTTTCGTCTCATCACAAGTGTGATGCGTAGTTTTCCATCAGTGCAAACCTCTGACCATCTGCATTTGTAAAGGAGAACTTAAGTTGTTATCTGAAGATTAAAGTGTTGATCTTGCAAATAACAATGGTAGTATTTTTATTGTCGAAACTCCTTTGGACCTAGCAAGTGTGATGTTCAGAGGAAGCCACAGAAAGAAAGGCTAAAGTGTTAAGTCCAGCTGAATGAGCAAAGAAGAAAAGAGAGTGCAGGGAAAGGGTTTGCTTACACAAACTGAAAAAAGAAGTCTCTGTAAGTTCCAAACATACCCACTAGCAGTGCTGATGAAGGAAAAGTTTACAAGACTCCTCAGGCTCTAAGGAAAGCTCTGAGCAGGGTGAAACAAGTTCTGCCAAACAGTCCATGAAAGAAAAGAGCAGTGATATCTAAACTGGCAAAGTCTGCAGATGGCATTTCATCATAGCAGCTCAAACTCATGCAGAAATGGAAATAAGCAACTCCCAAAGTCAAGTGTTAAGTATGTTCACAATTTTTTTCACCTTGACTCAATTTCACAACAAGCATGTGGCTGGAAAGATTATGTTTCAGTACCGTCAGAAGGGAAGAAGATGAAGTTACAGAAGTGTCACATTATGTGGTTCCTCAAAGAAGTATACCAGTTATTTCTGAAAGAGCACCCTGAAATTAAGATAAGTCTCAGTAACTTCTGTTCCCTTAGGCCTGTCAATGTATTGCTCTCCTCTGCTATGCCCAGGGATGCCTGCCTTTGCCAATACCATGAGAACATCAGGATGCTGTGTGAATATATTGCCTAGGAAATTCAAGCCCTTCCTCCTTACTCTGAAGCATTAGTTGATAACTTTGTGTGTCACAGCACAAGTGAGTTCTGCATGACAGGGAAATGTGCAAAATGCCCCAATGAGTGGCTACTAGAAATTACAGCAGATGCACCTCTGCATGAAACAATGAGTTGGTGTCAGTGAGAAGGAGTAACACACACCATGCCAGGAAAACAAGGAAAAGGTCAGCAACAACTAGGTTACAAGGATGCTGAAGGTACTTAAAGAGAGCATAATTGAGGAGGCTATAACGTCCCTAATGAAGAAGACGCCTCATTATCTACATATGGCTAGTTGTTATGAAGCTGTTACTCAACAAGAAAGTGAAATGCAAGCCAATGTCAACAAAATTGATGCGAAATCTGCTACTCGTAATTCAAAGATGGCCGGCTGATCACGTGACACTGCTCACCACAGGCAACCCACCAAAACGGAAAAAGAGAGAAAATTTTGGAAATGCAGAAACGAGGGACACATATCTAAGGATGAATGTTGCCCAGCAAAGAAAGGGAGGTGTAGGAAGTATGGTCACGTCGGACACTTAGCTAAAGTTTGCAGGAGCAAGAACAACTACCAGACAAAAGTCTTTAGTGTGGAAGATAATGAAAGCCTGGATGACGAAATCTTTGCAATTGAGCTCTCCCCTGAAGACGAGCTGGAAGTGAAGCTTACCATTGGAGGTCAAGAAGTTGACATGTTAATAGACTCTGGAACTTGCCATGTAATCGACCATCAACTATGGAAGCAACTCCAATTGAATGGAATCAAATGTGGAAGCCAGTCAGAAAACAGGTCCATACGGTCTTATGCTACAGCGAGCAAAGTCCAAGTCGAAGCAAAGTTCTGGTCAAAGGTGGAGCTTGGAGACAAACGTTTGTCAGATGTTGAATTTCTGGTGATTTCAAACAGAGGCAGACCCATAGTGGGAAGAAAAACAGCAATGCAGCTTGGAGTACTTGCAATCAAAGTACCTGAATCTGAAGTAAATCTTGTAGAGGGTGAGTTCCAGGAACTGTTCAGTGATAAAATTGGAAAATTGACAAATCATTCCTTTAAACTGCATCTCAAGCCTGATGCAAAGTTTGTAGCACAACCGTGCAGATGTGTCCCGTACAATCTTTGCAGCAAAGTAGAGGAAAAGCCGACGGAACTGGAAGATATGGACATCATTGAGAGAGTGGAAGGTCCAACACCGTGTGTCAGCCCGATTGTCATCATTCCTAAACAAAATGGGGACATCAGGATATGTGTGGATATGAGAATGGCCAATACAGCTATAGAGCATTCAAGACACCTGATACCAACAATCGATGATGTGCTGAGTGAACTCAGTGGCAACCCTGTGTTTACTAAACTTGATCTTACCATGGGATTCCATCAACTGGAGTTGAAAGAAGTTATCTCAAGAGAAGTCACAACCTTCACGACTCATGCAGGCCTTTTTAGATATAAGTGTCTAGTGTTTGGCATTTGCTCAGTGCCAGAGTTGTAGCAACATGTAATTGATCAAGTTCTTCATAGCGCCGGATGTACTGGATGTCAAAACATATCTGATGATATTGTGGTTTACAGCACCGATGTAGCTGAACATGACGAAAGGCTGAAAAAGGTCCTACACACGTTGAAAGAGAGAGGTTTGACACTCAACAAGAAGAAGTGTGTCTTCAGGATGAATGAGATTGAATTCATGGGACATTTGTTGCTGGCGAAAGGCATAGGCCCTACAGAGTCCCGAGTAAAAGCACTCCAAGAAGCAAGGGAACCAACAGACAGCTCAGAAGTGAGGAATTTTCTGGGCTTGGTGAATTTCAGCGCACAATTTATCAGTGGCCTGGCAACAAAAGCAGAGCCATTGAGAAGACTCACACAGAAGAATACACACTTTGTGTGGGGAAAGGATCAAAGGAAAGCCTTTGAAGAATTGAAGAATAGCCTGATGGATGTGGATACACTGGCATACTTTAACCCTGCTTTGAAAACTGGAGTTGCTGCTGACGCCAGCCCAGTAGGGCTTGGTGCAGTGTTGTTGCAGGAACACGACAAAGTCTATGCAAACAAAACCCTGTCTAGTGTGGAACGAAGATACTCGCAAACCGAAAAAGAAGCATTGGCCTTAGTCTGGTCTGTTGAAAGGTTTCATGTCTACCTCTTGGGTAGAGAGTTTGAACTTGTCACTGACCACAAGCCCTTGGAAATTATCTATTTACTTAAATCAAAGCCTACTGCGTGTATCGAGAGATGGGTTCTTTGGTTACAACTATATCATTTTCATGTCATCTATAAACCTGGTAAAGAGAACATCACTGACACCCTGTCAAGATTGCCACACACAGATGAGGGAAAGAACTTTGATGACACTGAGAATTATGTGAATTTTATGACCGTGAAAGCTGTTCCAAAAGCAATGAGTGCGAAAGAAATTGAAGAAGTGGCATTGAATGACAAAGAGATGGAGTGTTTAAGGTAAGCTATCCAAACTGGGAGGTGGAAAGGAACTGAATGTTCAGAATTCCTACATGTAGCCAATGAACTGTGTGTCGTGGGTGGTATAATT